ATATATATATATATATATATATATATATATATATATATATATATATATATATGTATGTATGTATGTATGTATGTATGTATATACAGAGTGTCTCGCCACTACCGCATTATCTCTTAAGGGCGGATTCCTGAAGTAATTTGAATAAAAGAATCCTAATACAAAAATGACGAAGCTATAATACTTTTCAAATTATAAACGATTAAATTTGACTAATTATATTGGCTAAAGTACGCGCGTTTATGTACGGTACAACACACAATGATACAGGTGCATGCACATAAGTGAGAATTTGCATATGATATGAAATTAGTTGTAAGAAACGTCAAATATGTGACAGCTTACTGATTCTCATAAATGTATTGTGTGATATTTTATTCATGACATTTTGACGAGATTGTTATTATTTGCGATATATTTATTTAAATGATAGAAAAGGCAGATTTTTATTACATATATTGTTGTATGTATAGAATCAATCCGTATCGATATTTGGAAAAGAAACGACAAGTGCGTGCACCTATACCACTGTGTGTTGTACCGTATCTGAGCGCGCGTACTTTAGCCAGTATACTTGTCGAGAGAAGTGCGCAGGAGCTTCGACGTGCCAAAAAATTAGCTGCGCCCATGTGTGAAGAGGTATATCGGCGAGAAGTACCGACAAAAAGTCTCTAAAAAGTCAGCATATATTTCGCCATTTAAACGCGGTGGCAAACAATACGCACCAATCTGGAAATCATTGACAAGAATGCTTAGATTTAGTGGCGAAAGAAAAGTTGTTTTATTTTTATCGCTCACACATACCACTTGATCCGCGATCAAGCATGATTCCCGCCATGTTGATAGACCATCGATTCTGGAACGCAGACGACGTTGGTTAGTTTGGTTTGGATTGGGATTGGGTTTGGTTTGGTTGGGGGTTGGGTTATATGTTAGGTTGGGTTGGGTTTGAGTTTGGTTTGGTTAGTTTGGTTTGGTTTGGTTTGGTTTAGGGTTTGTGGTTTGGTTAGGTCATCCGCTTCGCGGACAACGTGAGGATTTTCTTCGTCCCAATGTAAAAAATTAGGCGTATTAAATACGCCGTTTGGCGTAAAAGTCGTTTCGTCGGTCCACAAATTATGGTCCGTGAAAGATAGATCTCGATGGTACAGCGCGAGAAAAACTACGTGTTTTGCCGATGGCTGACGGTTACAATTCAATAAAAATACCGCGAATATAAAAATCAATAATCACAATACTTTCACAAAAATTAATTATTTGTTGTGGCATCTCCTGGCAGCAGTTGTTGCACACGCTGATAACTGTACGGGTGCAATCCATTCACACGTAAAATGTGATGCACCGCATACCGCGAGAGTCCCAGTTCTCTTGCCATATGGCGTGCGCTGGTCCCAGAGTCATCGTTAAACGCGGTCAGAACCCTCTCTTTATCTCGAACGCGACAACGCACTCGTGGACAACCCGCACCATGATTATATACAAGACACCTAATTTCACGAAATCGTTGCATTGTACGTAAAATTGTTTTTGCCGTTGGATATCGTGCACGCCCGGGATGTCGTTCCTCATAAACGCAAGCCGCGACACGTGTATTTTCTCCCGCTAGCCCATAGGTAATAATCAAGTCCGTGTACTCCTGTGGAGTAAATCGCATTTTCGTCGCGAAAAAGCACTACGCTTACACAATCGTTTCACGCGACTGCAGTCGCTTCTGTCGGATACCCGAAACCGGGCGATCATAGACAAAAGACAAATTGCTTGATTATGTTTTGTTTATGTTACGAATTACCAGATATAAATGTAAAATGAACTTTTTTAAAAATTAATTATTTTTATACATGATGTCAAATTAATCTGACTAATGCGATATTATTTTATTTTTGAAACGTAAATTATAGATTATATAAAATTAATTATAATTTCTTTTTCTGATATATCATTAATGGTGAAGTTGATAATTTGAGATATCTTTTTACTTTTTTTAGATTTTTAAAATAGCTGCTGCATATTTTAATATGCTTCGAAGTGTAATCAGTTGAATGCGCTTCTGTAATCGAGAGTATAATGGGACAATGAGAATGTAAAAGAAGTACGGAAAATGAAGGATGGAAATACTATATTAATCAATTATCTAGTCATCAAAACGTATGTGACATTTAAAAATTGCTAGCCAAAATAATCTTCTCACGAAATAAGCGAAAAATTCAATCACAGTTAAAAAATAATATCTGTAGCTGATTGTTAAATTTAATACCGGATTCATATTTGTATAAAGAATATTACTCCAGTTACGTGGTAACATTTCAGCATATATCTCTACTATATATGGAAGAAATTAAATTACTTGAAAGTTACTTTAGATGTACATAATCTTTTTCAATCTTTTACTCCTGTTGTAGAACTTCTTCTCGGCTGGAAAGTTAACTCTTAAATGACAGTTGAAATTTAAAATAGAAACAATGTAGTGTAGTAATTGAAATATTACTTTTAAAATTTTTATTTTTTCCTTAATTTTGTACCACTTATGTCAGTTTATACGTATGAAGAATTACACACGCATATTTTATATACCTTTAACTTCTAATGTGAATTTTAATTTTCAATTGATGACTTTTCGAGAGAAATTTTTGTAAAATATCATCGTTTATTATTTTACTATTTCTTGCATTACTTTATTATTTCATGATTAAAATTACGCGGTTTCAATGGATATAGAAGCTAAGTCCGATGGAGTCACTATCTGATGTAAAAGCTAGCGTGTAAAAATACTTTCTAGACGCAAGCAAAATCGAACCTCACAAAAGCAAGTTGCTTTACAAACTTTGTTACGTTTAACTTCTCCGACTCACGCAACATTAGAGATTTGATGCGCGCAAGCGCATTCTAATGGCAAGTTTACCCTATCGCGGACTTTTACTTCAACGATCAGTCCTGATTTGACTCGCGAGTTACCCGTTTCGTATCTAGTACATCATTCTCCGGTGCAATCAAACGTTAGAATAAAGTAATTTTTGCATAGCAGGGTCGCAAAGCGATCTTCAGAATGTGCGAGGTGCCACACAATAATCATTACCAGAACGACATTAAGATTAGTTTGCAACTAACTCGCAACATTTTATCCTTAATTGGTGTTTGGCCAAATTTCCGTGGACAAAAGTCCGCTTGCGAGAAAATTAGCAAGTTCCTGCGAATTTCTGTCTCATATACTCTCCTTTATTTCGCCCTGGTACCCGGTGCGCTTTATTGGATATTTGAAAAGAGAACTCGCGTTCGACTTCGTTTGACTACAATTATGCTCTACGGTTTCATGACTTTAATCAAATATTATAGTTTGATAAATCATGAAGATCAAATCAGACGTTGTGTAAAGTTCCTCGAAGAGGATTGGAAGAAGGTTGACAACTCGGGCGCACGGAACGCGATGTTAGAATTTGCTAGGATCGGAAAACGTTTGGCTATGATTAGCGCGGTCTTTTTATACAGCAGTGGACTTGCGTTTCGAACATTGATACCTTTGTCGAAAGGGAAGATCGTAACCCCACAAAACATTACCATCAGACCTTTACCCTATCCAACATATTTCTTTTCATTCGATGTACAATCCAGTCCGATCTATGAGATAGTGTTTGCGATGCACTTTTTATGTGGAGTAGTCACTATTTCGATCGCGACTAGTATATATGGTCTCCTCATCGTCTTCGTAATGCATGCTTGCGGCCAGTTGGAAATTTTAGTAAATTTACTAAAAAATCTCGTTAAAACGGAACAACAAGACGGATTAGAGGTGAATAAGAAACTAGGTGTTATTGTAGAGCATCAAATACGAATACGCAGGTGTGTTCATGATTATTAGATCATGTTTTACTTGTTTATTTTTACGTGAAACTATCACGACAATATCACATT